AAAGGGACAGCCAATGCCGGTAGAGCAAAAGCCGCACGGCAAGCGGGGGGGGGGGGGGACACGGCAAGTCGCGTGAATTTCCTCAAAGGGACCAATCCATGCACCGAAGAAACGGGACATTTACTTTGTGATGCAAGAGGCTGACAGCTCAGAAACCCTGACAGGACTCGCGACCGCGCTGCAACCTGGCAAGGTGCAGGGTTGCATCATCTGGGCTGTTAGAGCCGAGACGGTCGAAGCCCTGAGGAGAAAGACAAGAGTGAGAGCGACGGCCCCGCGTGAGGGGGGCGCTGGGGGCGGGGGCGAGCGCGAGGCAGACCCGGGGGCGGGAGGAGGAGGATGAGGAGGATGCGGGGGGCACCGCGAAGTGAGGCCCGGGGGTCGCCTCACGGAGGGGGCCGGAGGGGAGGGGGCGGGCGCTGCGCCGGAAGGGGCAGGGACTCGGCCTCACTTCCCGCGCGCCGTTCTCCTCAGCGCTACGCCCCTCCCCCAACCTTAACGTGTCGCCCGCGCGTCGCGCCGCCTTGACGTCACTGCCAAGCGACAGCCGCCGGGAACTGCAGCGGCCTCGTGGGCGCCTCCCAGGTGAGTCCCTTGGTCTTCCGGGTCCGCCCGGCGCAGGGGTTATTTTAGGGAGCCTCTAAATCAGAACCCCCCCCAAAAACTGGACATATTTGTTCGAATAGGACAAAAATTGACCTACCTGTGGCCCCAGCGCTGTTATTCCTATCGAGTTCAGAAATGATAATGGGTTGTGCAGAAATCATCTTTCCTTTAAACGTTTCGTGAAAATCCATCTTTGTGGGTTATTTTGATCGCGCGCGGAGGGCCTCAACTGGTCATAATCCGGCCCTCGTACGCTGAGGCCCCAAATGATGTCCAGATGGCTGTAATCGGGCCCGTTCTGGGATGCTGCCCTGCCGGACGTGGCTTTGATCCGCAAGCGGGGACGGACCGAGTACAAATAGAGCGCGATGCCAGCACGACCCGTTTCTATGCATCGCCAATGGTGTTGCGAATGCAGCTCTGTAAAGAGCTGGGGGTGGGGGTGGCCTCGTTAGGAGAACGAGCCACGCTTGCGTCCAGGGAAGCAGCCCCCGAGAAGGGGCGCAGCGAAGGGAAGGAGAAGTTTTTGCTCTGATGCTTGTTTGGCCTCCCCCTTCATCCTCTCTCGTCTGCGGCAAAGGTGCTGTCGCGTGCGTTGATGTTTCGTAGAAGCAGGACGTTGGCTGCTGCCATCACCGGGGTGTCCGGTTGCATCGGGGATGACCGTAACTTTAGGCAGAAGTGAGATGGAGAGCGTGGGGTGGTTTGGATAGGGTTGGACCCGGGGGGCACCTGTGGACTTCCAGCCCTTCTCTAGGAGTCTATTCTCCGTTGCAAATTGGGTGCAGGGACCCTGGTGAAAGGCCTCCTAGTTCAGGGGCGGGCAATTATTTTGGGCAGAGGGCCACTTGTTGAGTTTTGGAAAGCCATCGAGGGCCACGTGCTAGGCAGTCAGGGGAAGATAAATATTTTCTAAATTTTTTGGAGGCCCGTCCTAGTTGAAGAGCAGGTGCTTTGTAAGACTGAAACTTTTTCCTCTTCTTTCCTTTCCTGTCAGTGGGTCTCCAGATTCTGCTGCCATGGATTACTTCCCCAAACTGGATCTCCTCAGTGTTATGGCTGGAGTGGCCTGCGGAGTGTGCCTGGGTTGGGGCACGCGTGCACGATTCTTCAGACCATCCAAAGCGCGCGTGAACATGCCTGCTGCTGAACTGGGGAGCGAAGCCAGCATCATGGGAGAGTCTGGAGAGTTCAAAATGGTGCTCGTTGTCCGCCAAGACTTGAAGATGGGGAAAGGCAAAGTGGCAGCGCAGTGTTCGCATGCTGCGGTTTCTGCGTACAAGCAGATCCAGAAAAGAAACCCCGAGCTCCTCAAGCAGTGGGAGTATTGCGGGCAGACTAAAGTGGTGCTCAGAGCCCCTGATGAAGAGACTCTAGTTCAGCTCCTTGTTGATGCTAAACAGCTAGGACTGACTGTGAGTTTAATCCAAGATGCTGGTCGTACTCAGATTGCACCTGGCTCCCAAACTGTCTTAGGCATTGGCCCAGGACCAGCTGATCTGGTGGATCAAGTGTCCGGGCACTTAAAACTCCTCTGATGTGGAAAATAAACCTTGGATTTATTGCAGCAACTCATATTACCACCAGTCTTAATGAAAAATCAAACCCAACCTCTAGTTTGTTTCCATCAGTTCTGCTCTAGTATGAATAAAAAGCATCAGTGTCTCTTTTTTGTAGACTTTTTCTTGTTTGGTTACTTCACACTCATTGTGTAAAAATAAGTAAATAAAAAAGTAGTTTACCTGTTTTTCCTAGGCTTACTTTAAAAATCACTGCATCTGTCCCATTTGGCATGAAATCATGGTCAAACAAGGTGGAGCAGGCCAGGAAAGGAAGAATCTTGCACTTAGCAGGAGCCGTTGTAAATAGATTAAAGGTACTGTCTGTGCCTAAAATGGTTTAGGGCAAGTTGCTTCTCTTAGGAAGATTGCCAGCAGTGCTTAGGTGTGTGGGACAGCCTAGGAGCTTAAAGTTACACCAGATGTACTAGAATGGGTAGAGGTATTGAGGCCAAGCCAGCAGTTTGCTTCCTGTCTAATAAGGCACTTATAGTTAGTCAGGTTCCACATGCCACTAACAGAAAAGTGTGTAGGGGGTGGGATGACATGTTTTCAGTTGTAGTTAGTATACTGGGATAGATGGAGCACAGCCTGTGCAGTGCCTGCACTAGCAAGAGTATACGCTTTTAACAGAATAACTGGAAGGGCTGGTATCTAAAGCGACTCCCTCTATGCATCTTGTGGAGTTCACATGGGAATATGAAGCAGTAGTTATGGTTCCAGAACTCTGCTGCTGCCACATTAGCAACTGTTTCTATACAAAACATTTATGTAATAAGTCAACTGATGCAACTGCATGTAGCCAAATAAGTAATTCCCATTTAAGCTTCAGATGCAGTTTTCTAGCTCAGCCTTTTAACAGACAGGAGTGAAAAGCACCAGGTAGTCTTCCAGGGGAGGTGCAGTTGTGCTTAGTACACTGCTCCCTGCAGGACAGCACCTGTAATAGTGCTGGGATTTAAACAAAAACAAAAATTAAAAAACCCAACAAACAAACCCACCAACCCCCACCCTAATTTGAAAGTGTCAGTTAATACAGAGGGAAGTATAGAGAAAGAATTATGGAGATGTACCAACTTGTGCTTCATTTTATTATTTTTAAATACCAAAAATAACAAGTTAAAACCACTCCATTTTTCTCCCTTTTAGAGGCCATAATTCTCATCAGAAACGTGTTAAGTTCTACACTTAAAATTGGCTTGTGTTAATTAAGCTGAAAATTAATAGGACCCTTTTCCTACGAGTCCAGATCAACAGTTAGCTTGATTTTACTTGATCAAGTCACAGCCGAGAATAAACTTGAAATTAAAGTACATTGCTTTCCTGTGGAACAAGCCTGGGAGGAGGCAGGTTTTGGGTAGGCATCTGTGCTGCTACTGGTAAGAGGCTTAACTGTACCAGAAGCTGTTCATTCATTTCAGATAACCCTGCTCTGATATTCAGGGGGAGGGCTGTAACTAGAGAGAGAGTGCTTTTCCAGTTTTAGGTTTCCTAGTGAGAGGGTCTTCAAGGATTTAAACTAGTGATGAGCAATGTCTTCTAGCTGCAATCCAAGAGGCTTAAGAGCACTTTTCTTCTTTCACAGGAAGATTTTGCAGCTACCTTTGAAAAACGTGGTAGAGTTAAGCCTGGAAAGATGAAGCGATGCCTAAAAAAGTGTCAAAGGCAGAGCTAGATTTTAGATCCCATTGAAGGCCAGTCTAGCTTGCCAGTTTCCCCATAATGTAAGCCCCTGGTTTGCCAAAAAAGCAGACAGCAAGGAGGAACAGCTGGTTTCAATGATTAGCCTAAGCTGAGTTTAAGGTCTAGAAAGACCAAAGCTAAAAAGGAAGTACAGGAGGAATAGTATCTTGTTGAGTCACCGAGCATGGACTCCCATCCTACAAACATGCCCAAGGCTGGAGGAGAGCTTTTCCATGGAGGCTTCCCTACTTCAAAAAGAAACCAAGCTAGGCCTTTTCTCCCCCACCCACCACTTCTCTGCTTTATATCCTAGTGTGTGTGTGGTTCAAACAGAAGAGTGGAGTAGAGCAACTTATAACGCTAAAAGAGCCCCACAAATGCTTCCCCCCCCCTTAAGCAGCCAGACAAATTTTTTGGCAGTAGAAGCCCAATACAGTTGCTGTGTGGTTCTACAGCCTCTCCACCAGATCACTGGTTAGGCAAACCAATTAAAAAGGTAGGCAAAGTAGTTGGTGGCTTCTGCATGGCAGGCAGGTGACCCAGCTTGGATTCAGACAGGCCAGCTCATCTCTCCAGCCACCCAGGCATAGGTTACCAACCTTGGGAGGTGAAGCTACTGCAGTCCAGCTGTTGACATGCAGCTTTAGCAAGCTCTCCTGTGTACACATGGCGCTTAGGCTACTTGTGCTATATCTACTTTGTCTGTAGCTATCCAGGACTGCTCAACTGAGTGTCAACAAGTAACAGTTAATGCAAGCTGTGATCCCCAAGGGTCCTACAGAGCTTTTAGTTGTGAAGACAGTCCCAGAAATCATTCCTACTTTCTGGCAGTTTGGAATCTGATGTTCTGGACTTGGTTTTACTGCTCAGAGTTTCAAACAAAGTTAAGTAGCATGCACTCGCCACAGGACCCAGAAGTCTAAAATTTTACTGCCTTAAAAAAATAAATAAATAATAATAAAAAAAAATCTGAGTCTTAGTTAAAAGGCGGCTTCCAGACTTCACTACTCCCCCTGCCCCTGCAGGCTGTAACCAGCAGGCAAGCTTGTCTGCTATATGCACTGCTTGGCTAGCCAGAGTAGGGGGGACTTGGAGGAGTCTTGGATTTATAAAGGATAGACCTTTAAAAAAAACAAATATTAGGCAAGGCTCGGTCCATAGAAGAATTAGATTCACAGAAGTTTAGGGCTTGAAGGGATTTCTGCTCTGGGTAGGGAAGACAACTGGGATCAAGTAACCCCAGCAAGGTGCATGTCCAGTCTTCTTTTGAAGATCTCCAAGGTAGGTGCCTGAACCACCCTGGGAGCCTGTACACCACCTCTGGTTCTCTTACCTACCATTTCTTTCCTCTCAAAAGACCTCTACATCTGCTTAAAAGTGCAGCAGAGTGCTCTGTCAACTAGCTTCAGCTATTTGCCAACAGGGTATCCATTTCACAATGGGGGCACCTTGAAGACTGTTCATAGACCTACCCTTCTCTGCCCCCCAACCCCATCTCTCCTTAACAAGATTTTCCATATTTCAGGTTGAGAAGAAAAAAAAAAAAAAACCATGGGAGGGGGAGTTCTCAGTCTGCACTTGATATGGCTATCAACACTTCCAACAGTGGCATTAAAAAATATGCACTCAAAACATGACAGTATTCATTGTCAAATGTTTAGGTCAAGTTTTATTGGAAGCTATATTAAGGCAGCTTAAACATAGCTAGAACATGATCTTCATTGATTTAAACTGAAAAACAAAAAAAAAAACGACAAAAAAAAAAAAACACTTAGCTACAAGCCCGGAGCATCACCTAGTTGATATGCTGTAGTTGGTCAAAATAGCCAACTGCAGAAAAAGTGCCATTTTCCACCCCCATCTGATAATCCCTTAGTTAATAGGAAGAGCATTAAAAAGTTATTCTCCTGCATAATCCCTCAGTGCAAGACACCACTTTGAAGTGGTCTCCATTCTATTTGTTTTGCTAAGCTGAGAGCCCCTTACTGACCTCTGGAATACTGTCTGACCTTGGGCTCCTGATACTGCAAACATTGGCCTGAACTGGAAAGAGTTGGTTTCAGAGAAAGAGAAAAAAAAAAAAAAATACGTAAGTGAAACTACCACTATACAGAATGTCCACAGTCCAGTAATTTATTTTTTTTTTTAAATTTGAGTAATTTCAAATTGCACAAACAAAAACTGAACAGCAATATTTTTGCTCGAATTCTCTCTTCTGTACACTCAAAAACAGTGATCTAAAACACCACAATATCCAACATACACAAACCTCAGGGCAGGGTTAGTAAATACATAGATTGGAATCATGGTGCTCTGTTCCTGAATGGAATGTCCCACAAAAAGCACAGAATACAGCACAACATAAAGGTCATTGTTACATATGGAGTGAGCCAAACACTAGCATTTTTCTATATGCATAAATGGAAAACCTGCATAGGTTAAGGGAAACTTTACTCATTTTTAAGTCAGGCAAGGTTGTCTTTACGCATTTAATTTGTTTTAAGAGCTATGCAATCCAACCAGGGTAGGATATGCTGATTAGTGTTGTCTTTCATCGGCAGTCTTGCAAGATCAGATACAAATCTCTGCTTTAGCTTTCTCTGAATATACAATGAGACTTAAAATGCATTTAGATAGACAGTACATATTGTAAGCTGCTCACATACAATGAAAAGAGATTCAATATTAGAGTTGAACACTATAGAGTGCAAATCTCAATCTTCACAACAGACTGTTTTAATGGTAAGAAGCGGTCCTGCAGAAAAGCCCATCTGAACAGAACAAAAAATTAAGCTATTCCCCTTTAAAACAAGATCTAAACATGGAATGTGAAAAAAAGGATTAAATGTAGGTGTGATCCCAATAGTTTGCGCTAGAAAACAAACAAAAACAGTCCTTCATGAAATAAAGGTTACAAGAACACGAGGCAGAACTCTGGCTTTTCCCTGTTATGAAAAAGAAGCGGGGTGGGACGGTGGAGTTTCAGTAAGAAAAATATGATCGCTCCAGAGGCTTGTGCTGCACCTTACATGGTGTATCCAAAACCAGGCTGAGGTTGCCCATATGGAGGTGCAGTATAGCCATAGCCAAAAGGTGCTTGTGGAGGAACTGCAACACTGGGTCCTGCTGTCAACATTAGCTGTGGCTGACCTGAACAAAGAAGGGCAGAAACAGTTATATCATATGCAGTTGTCTGCTCCGGATACATCCTGACTGTCATGGAGGGTCTGCCTGGGGGGAAACTGGCTTGCATGACCATTTAGTGTCCTGGGAAGCATTGCTTACTATGCGAATGAGTCACCAGGTGTCAGGAGACATTATAATGTCTCCTACGAGAAGCCCACAAAAGGGAATGAAGACAGAGCTGTCAACACAAGTAACAAAAAACAAAAACAAAAACACACACACACACACCACTTTGCTTTAAATTCCAGGGAACTGTATAGCAGATGCTGCATGAAAACAGAAGGGCAAGCAAGTTCCCTTCCCTGTGATGGAAGATGGGGAAAAAAACTCACTCCATCTATACAGAGATAAAAAGGGGTAGATTTCTAATATTCCAGGTCTCAAGCTATGCAAAAAGGCCAGGGCTTGAGAGACATGTGCTGTAAGCAAGTCTGGGTTGTGACTAACAAGATTAAAATCTAGCATGAAAGTGCAACGGGCTAGGTGTGATGGTACCAGTAGTGCACTGTTAGCCGTTTGCATAAAACCTGGATTGCTGGCTTACTGTCAGCACCTATTAAGTTCCCTGAAGCAGTCCCATCCCCCCGCCCCCAAAGCAGAAAGCATGCCAGTTTCCAACTTCACACAGTGTTCAACTTACACTAGAGATGGGCATTGCCTTCTCCCTCTCCCCCCCCAAAAAGGGCACACTTAATTGACAATTTAAGACTACAAGTCCAAGACACTCCAGGGTTCCTAATTTTTCCAACCTGCATATAGCCAGCTATCAAACTGTCATTTGAAACAAAACATTAGTCTCAGGAACTGGCGATTTGGAGTTCCAATGCCAAGAACAGTTTTGTAAGGTCAGCTGGTGGCATAAGGCAAGAAGACTGCTTCTCTGACGAGCCCCTCTTCTTAAGAAAATGAAAAGTTAAAAGTACAGGGTCTATTTCCCACCTTCGGTTTTGAGCTACATAGCCAGACAAACATGAGCAGGTGAGAGAAAGAGAGATACAAGTGCTGGTCAGGAGAGACAGTCTTCCCATTGCAATGGAGTCATGTAACAAATCAAAGCGGAGGAGACAGTGGAGCAGGGACACTGAAGGGATCTCTGAAGACATGTTTGGAGTGGAGCTGAATAGACTAGGACTGGGAAGAAGTCACCCAAAGTGTAGCTCCTACTTGATCTTTACCAAGAACTTCCCCAATTATGTACCTGTATGCACAAGGAGGCTATGCCATCCCGCATCCTTAAAGACGCCATAAAGCAGGCTCTTTGAAAAAACACTGCTCCTAAGGTAGTCCTCTGATAGTCTCTATGACAGCACTATTGCCAAATAAAGAGCGTATAATTTTTCTCATTTTTCAGGGACCAATTCTTTGCATTTTTGGAGTAGAATCAAGTGAGCCATCCCTACAAGGCATTTACTTTTGCAGTCACAGTTATGCATGTACACCCGAATGCATGTGCAGTAGTGCATATGCCTGTACACAAAGTAAAATCGTTACCATAAACAATTGGTTGCGTTTCTGTAGCTTGCTCCTCTTCCTTTCTCAAAGACTCAGAGGCATCCAGTTTGTCAACCTGCAAGAATATAAAACCCCAACGAAAGTTAAACACACAACTCCGAGTAAATAAGTAGCTCTTATGTTTGTGTGGCAGAGAAGTGGAAAAGCCTTAGTGGTTATTTTAAAACACCATCAAGGAAGAGACTTACAAGTTCTTAGATCAATTCAAGGATCAATGTTGTTACTGCTGCAGTCAAAAAGAAAAAAAAAAAAAAAAGAAGGACAGGTCTCAGCATTTCCCTGGGAAACTCCCTTGTTTTGAGATGTATGGAACTGCTGTGAAAGCTCACTCCAGGCTGAAGCTTTGCATCTAAGCTCCCAGCCTGGGGGAAGCTAGTTGACAACGGTAGGATAAGAAACATTTGAGAGCGAGATCACCAAAGTGACTCCAACCACATCTGGTACGCAGTCTAGTTTGACATGACACGGCAAGCTCATTTCAGATGCCACAGT